ACATTTATATAGTCTTTGGAGACCAGATCTTCCAGAAACTGTTTGAATTCTGATGAGCTCGTTTATTAACCGACCTGATTTGTATTCTTTTGAAGCAAAATTTATTCAAAAACTTCTACATGAGAAGGAGAAAACTATTTGATTGGCCTTCAACTCGACATTCAGATATGTGTATATAGACGACGTTTGATCATAATCAATAATTACTTCCATTCAGATGTAGATATATCCTAACGAACTAACTCGTTTTAAAACACAAGAATCTGCCACATCTGTTTTATATTTGGATGTTATACTGACTTTAAACGATAAGGGGCGACTAACAATTAAATTGTATGACAAATAAGATGATTTCAGCGATTCCTTCTAAATTTCTTACTTGAGTAGTAATATTCCACCTTCACCTACATATGGTGTTTTCTTTTTCCACTTATTCGATACTCAAAGCATGTTCTGAGTTAGATCAATTTTTAAACCGAGACAGGCTACTTATAGATAAATTGATGCTACAGAGATTTCAACAACCTCATTTATTGTCAACATTTTGTGAATTCGATGGTCGTTATAATGACCTCGTTAGAAATATAATCTTTCATTGGGTCGTAATTTGGATGAGCCTTCGTTTTCAGACTGAATTTCAATACGGAATGTTCAGTCTACCTGACTTATACATAGCGCACACAGCGGGTTTGACCAGTCAACAGGGATTGCTTACTTCTCCTAAGCAACTAATCCCATCTCTGGAATTTGCAGGGATCCGTTTTTATGCCCTGTTTACGTATTTGTATTGTTTATAGATTTTTTCTAGATCGATCAGTGTTCGTTATCTTCACCTTTTTCATGAAATATGTGGAGATAACGAACAGTATTTAAGCTTAAAAGTCCATTTAACATTACAAAATAGGAGTAGAGCAAACACGGACCTCTAAGACATCAGAGGTGTGGAACAGCTGCCATGGAGGCTCCTTGTCATGATCGGGAAATAACTGGAAAATCCGCCGACAATTCATAGAGGAGTAATACAAAAATATATGGGGTTCTTGAAAAAATACACATTGGGCTCTGCTTATGCCTCGCCCAATATGCATTTTTTCAAGGACCCCATACATTTCCGTATTATCCCTCTAAGTATCTACATAACTAATATTGAGGGCTCGGCAAGCCTCACCCTCTATCACATTTTCTTACCCTCGCCCAAATATAGCTTATATTTAAACACAGTAACCATGTATTTCATTTATAACCTGGGTTGGAACAGTTTATGCTTTTTTATTAACTGCTTCGCGATTTATAAAGCGTAAACTGTCTCAACCCAGGTTATACAGTACAACCAGCTATTAAATTCATTCCTTAAATGATGAATTAGTTACCCCCATTAGAATGGACTTCTTATCTTGTTTTTATAACAAGTTAGTATCATATTATAATATTTTTTTAATCTCATTCTCCAAGAGTTAATAGTCTCTTTACAACAAGTTTGATATCATATTAAAACGTTTCAATTAGTAAGTCGTCTTTTTATCATTATAATTAATTAGCTATCTTGTTCACGACTTAGTATCTCACGATAATATGTTACATATGTAGCTATTTCATCAAAATAGGTCTTTTTTATCTCGTTCTTCAGGAGACAGTAGTCTCGCTAGAAAGAGTTTGTTTAATTGGGGTTTCCGTCTTGGCCAATCTTGATAGCTTTGCTTACATTTTTATTAGCTAGTCAAATTGCAGACTCCAGTATCAAACTGTCCAAACTCCTTATAAGTAAATGGATAATTTATTGTTTTAATAATATTTATTTGAATATTTATTCTTTTAACATATTTTCTCCCACCTTTGTTAAACAGTTTAAACTGTTGAAATATAATTATATCTTGCTACAAAACAAAATACTAAGTATATTATGGTCATTTATATATTTGATGGAGAAAATAGGTGAATTCTGAAAAAAAAAAGTTAGAATTCCTGATAATTTAGAATACAGTTTTTGAGTTCTGAATTCTGCCTACTTGATACTATACGGACTTTGTCAGGAACTGATTAGCCTCAGCCTTTGGCCTCGGTCAATCAATTCCTCACCATGTCTGCATTCTCACAAGTTGACCTCATCAAAAGTAATTTTTTTTTCTTAACGAGATTACTGTATTTTTAAAACTTGACAGAAATTAGACTATCCAGTTTTCGTTGCAAATATTGGTCATGATGCAAAATTTTCAGAAATTCGAGTCTCAATAAGCCACTAGTATGAATAGTAGGTAATTGATTTACCATTTAAAAGTGTAAAAATACCACAGTCATAAGTCAAGTAAATGATTTTTCATTTCCGTAAGTAGAATGTTTTTGCCTAGTTAACATCCTAAAAGACACTGATTTTTGTTGAGGAATTGCTACATACTGATTCTTCATAAATGCATTTGTTGCTATGTGGACAAGTTCTGTTGCTATGGATGAATTAATTTAAAAATACTTTTAAAAAAAAACCCAGTTTGACAATGCCTATTCTGGGCAATAGCGATTCAATTATTAGAATCAGATAATCTTTTAAAAACTTAGATGAATATGTGCTAAAAATAACTTTCAATGCTTCATTGCTAAGAAAAATTTGCTGTTGCCATGGAGATAGCTTATTGTAAAATAGTCTTTAGTATACAAGGAGGAATATTTTATATTTTTATTATTTTAAAATTTGTTTTGGGTACTCAATAATTACAATTTATCCGATTTTTCTTCCAATGCTTTACATTTTCCCCTTTTTAAATTTTTCAAACCATCCATTTTTGTTGCTTAGCAACAGACAGGAATTTTAAATTTGCAAAACTTTTCACTTCAAATTCTTAGAGAGGCTTTCCTGTGGTTTTACATGAAATAGATGACACAATTGTATTAAGATGGTGAAATGAATAATATCGACTTGAATTTTGCTAAAATCAAGCAAAATGCTGAATCAGCAAAAAATTTGAAACAGGTATCTTTACCTGTGTCTATAGCAAATGTATTAGAGAATGTAATTTCTTTTTATTACATTGAAAGAACACTTTCTTATTACACTAAATAAGAATAAAAATACTTTATTAACATTTCGTATAAAACCTCCAAAATGAGTGAAATTTCGTTAATCTTCAAAGGAAAATTGCCCAGTTGTTAGGGAAATTTCTTTATCCAGGTTTCCATAGTAACAATGACCCAAAATATTTTTCCTTCCACATACCTGGCTTATAGACCAAGAAAAAAACTGTGAGTGAAAAATCATTAATTTCTGAGAACCCCGTGTATCACCTCCTGCCTGATTGTTACTGGGACCTGTACTTAAATTCTAGTCTTGAACATTATTTTTCCATGCAAAACCTGGAGCCACTCACCCAACCGATTTAAACAAATGTGAGTCTACATTACCTGAGAATGCTTGTATATTAGTCCTCTTAATAGTTCTTGGAAAGATAATTTGGATTTTCTAAGTAAAACAAAACCTGGGACCAACATGTATATATCAGGCACGTAGCATCATTTTTTGTTGCTGTATGTTCAAATAGATTATGTAGGAGTGTATGAATAAAAATTGTAACTGAAAAAAGTTGGGACCCTATCACACACGCGAAATAAGTTTATCGAGTTAGGACAATTTTCCTTTTCTTTCTGGTAAGTTGAAATTTTTTCTCTGACTGCCCGCCCCCCATTTCAAAAACGATGCTATATCCCCATGTATATAGTCCGAACCTTTAGCCATTGAGGAAGCCTTCATTAAGGTTTTGTCTTTTTTGCGTCAATAGTTCCCATTTTCCCGATTTTTCCTTTAATGAGGACTTTTTTTCTTTTTAACCTCTGAAACATATGAATATTTTATGCCATGTTAGTTGATGTTAGTTGAAGTTAGCCCAGTGCACGTGGTTTTGAGCAATTGAAAATATAGGAGAGTTTAATTGTAAATGACAGCAGGCGAAAGAAAAAAACACGAATAAAATAACACGTGTGCCGAGAAGCCCCTTTGAATGCTCAGGTGAGCTAAAACATGATCTAGCATATGTATGTAGCAAACAGAATTCGAATATAATATTGTAAGAACTCAGTACCTTCCTGGCTATTCTCTTTAGAGAAGTGGACAGGCTCTTGCCTACAAAGGCGAAAGCCTGTTCACTTCTCTAAAAAGAATACTCAGTACCTTCCGGACCAGGTTGGTTGCAGTGAACACCGAATTAGACAATTGACCATGACCTTATGCGAAATAGAAACATTCTTATTGGCTTTGTGACCGATCAGTTTGGGATTGTCAACAATTTGGCTTTCTACAATAACTTGCAACTCTTAAATTTAAAACCCAGAGCTCTGCTGAGCTAGATTGTTAAAACCCACAAGATAATGCTTATAGGAGCTTGGTCTCGCTATGTACCTTTAAATCTGTTACACATTTTTAAAACTCTTTCGTGAGATTTGTTACCCCTAAGAAATCTCACACACGAGGTACCACATCTCATGTTAGTTTCGATACTTCAGCAACAATCTGACCGATTTACTAGGTTTGTCCACAATGTGGCTTGAACCTAAGACCTCAGATATAAAATCCGATGTCCTTCCAACTGAGCTTAATGGTGACCCACAAGATAATTCTAGTAGAATTTCGCCCCAATATGTAATTTAATTCTGTTATTTAACCCATTTTTCTTGAGATTACTTACCTCTAAGAAAGCTTTGCACACGAGATTCTACAAACGTCACATTTCATGTAGCTTTCTGTACTTGTGCAGCAATATGACCGACTAGCTAGGGGGCGTCTAAATGTGGCTTTAACCCCAAAACTTATCTAAAAATCTGAGTTAAAGGTTTAACCTACTATCTAGTGCTAGTAGGAATGTGGCCTCACTATATACAACAAATAATGTATTTATCTCTGTTACAGTTTGTTCCTTACTTTATAGATATGAAAAACAAAACATGATTTGTTGGAACTTTTATATCATGAATCATTCATTAACAAATAAATGATTGGAGTCCACTTATTATTTGCTGTAGCGAACTAGTTAATCTGATAGATATTGGTGTAGCGCTTCGGGTTACATATGTGTCCAAGTGCTGCATGCATGGCAACCAGAGCATCGTGTGTTATGGAGACCATAGTTGGATTGGAGTCGATGATATCAATGACATTTTTCTGAGGAAAATAAAAATGTAAAACATTTAAACAAGATGAATTCCTTCAAGCGTATTAAGTTATGAATCTCATGCAAGTTTTTAAAGACAAAAAAATATAATTTTTCCCTTTCTTTTATGTTGATGATCGGTTGCGGCGAATCTTTATCATGTGTTACACACGTACATAATGTACGAAACATTTTTTTATCTATGTAATATAAATGTTTAATTTCATTTTCGAGTTAAAAGTGGGAGTTATTTTACATTTTGTAAAAAAAAAAAAAAAAAAAAAAAAAAAAAAAAAAAAAAAAATATTACAGGTTTTAAACAACCAAAAAAGTCTAGGTTTTCCAAATAAGTCGTTTACAGTTTTATGTTCTAAAAAAATGAATATTTTACGTGGTATATTATTATTTGTTTTTTTAAACTGTTCATGAAAAAATATGTTTGTGAAACATTGAGTCATTCCAGTGAATCCAATTTCAAATACTCTGGTAAAAATGTAAAAGGGTTATTTAGTCGAGGACTTTCTCCGTTTTGTGTCGTTTGCAAAGCAGAGAGACAATCCTGAAACAATTTGTTCGACTCTTTTTGTCTTTCTGTAAATCCATTAAAGCCCAAGTTACCAATCACGTAACTCAGTTCTCCAATAGTGTCTTCACTTTTTTCTCATCAAAGGAAGAAAGCATCGCGCTTTTGGATAAAAACTAAGTCGATCATTAACATGATATCATTTTTTTTTATTTTATTATTTTTTTACCTCAATTGAATGAAGTCCATGTGAAGAATGAACGTCCATCTGTTCCTGTGGACTTGTTTTATACAGATAACACGTATGTCCAGATCTTACTGACAAAATATGCTACAATGATAATGACAAAAAAGATAATCATATATTTGTATATTTCACTACCTATTATACGTGTATCAGGAAAAGGAATTCACTCCAAATATATGATAAACTTGTCTCGCAACCTAGTCTCTCTACTTCATTAAGTATAATTTTCTTTTCTGCTTGAACTTTCAGTAATTCAAGCAAATTCAAGCAAAAAAGAGAAATCACGTCTTGTCAAAGTAAGCAACTTACACTATACTTGAAATAGCAGTAAATGTGCTTGCAAGATATGAAAATAAAAAGTGGTTTGCTTCAAACCCTTGCAAGAATTACCTGCAGGTCATTAAACAAAATGATTTTGTTATTTGGGTTAGTAGTAAAGGAATTTATTTACCGTGTGATAGTCGTAGTAGAATGAGAACGATTCTCCCACTGATGCCTCGTGAGTGGGGCGCGTTCCGTGAGAGTGTGGACGATGGGTATGGGTGGAATGCTGCGGTCGGTTTGTTGTTGTTGCAGCCGTAGCCTTGAAAGAAATATTTTTATCGAAATGATGCACCAGTGAATTGTGAAATTCTGGTGATAGTAAATCAGTTTATGAGATGAACTTCTAAAACTCATCTTTTAATTATTTTTCAAATTACACTATACTAAAAGTTTAAGGATTTTTTGATATCGTGAACCAAAGAGTCCTGTATAATTGATCACTAGGAGTACACAATATCATCCTTTCTTAATTTGTACAGCATATAAATTTATTTTATTATGAGATTTTGAAAACTTTCACTTTTGCAAATAAGACAGAACTTTATTGAAAAGCATTGACATGATTCAATGCGTCATTGTCACAAGTGAAGTACGAGTTCGTTTCGAACACCTGTCAATTGCATTTAATTTTGTAGACTGTACACATGTACATGTAAGTAGACTTAGTAATATATTATCCAACAAACAATTTCTAAACTCGAAATAAATGAAAGTATTTTTGAAATGTATTTCAATGCTGTACATATTTGTGATGATCTTTGTTGATAGCATGATGATATCGTTACATATTTGTGGTCTCCAAATACTCTTGAAGAATTCCCCTAGACTCATAATAATTTTTTTGTAAGATTTTTGTACACGCTCATTATTCAATACGCTTGCTTATTGCATCATGTATAAAATGACCATTAATTTTGTGTACACCGTATTAACATGACATAACTTTGTCTGGAATACCATTTCCAAGCAGAAATTTTTCAATCAAGGATTGTAATTGAATAGTTAATGAAGGTTACTGATCAGAGAATCCAAGGAATTTAAAAAAAGGGGAACTTCAAATCTGTTTAAGAAACACAAATTTGATTACTTTAAGAATCAACTCAGAAGAAAGAAATATTCTTATGAACATGAGACATTTTGAAAGAAACACTATTTTTGGCGGATTTAATTCGATAAGAAATAAAATGTAACAAATTTTCCAAATTCATTATATCTTGAATTTTCCCGACCAATATTAATCAATTGCAAAGTACTCATCCGATATATAATCTTTTGAAATAATTATTAGATATTTTGTATACTTGGTCTATTCTACAAAGTATGAAATGTAAAAATCCTTAGAGTGTTTATTTTACAGAACAATCTTATTTGAAAAAAAATGTAATAATTAAAATTAGATTATTGGTGAAAATTACATTCACAATCATAACAAAAGAGAGAATTCAAAATCATTATTTGAATGACTTCATCAATGATCAACAATTTATTTGAAATAATAATAAGATAACAAACACAATCAATGTCAAATTTAATGATACCTTAGGTACAGTACATCTTAATTAGCTTCATTAAAATTTTCAATATATACGTTGGAAAAATGTTAAAAATTCTTTTCGGGGATTATAGTATTTTTTTTTTATAGTTGTTGTTCCTAGGCACTGATTCTTCTTTTCAATCTCTATAATAATTTGTTTGATCAAATAATGACAACAGCACATCCTTTTGACTTTGTAATTCATAATGAATGAAGCTGTTGACATTTTTATCATTGATGCAATCTATAAAAGGAAATGGTTTACTATTTAGTTTTTGTGAATTACAATTCTTTATAGAAATTACTAATAATCTCCATTTCTTTCTTAAACAAATGAACATAAAACTAAATATGCCTGATTTAGAAAATGATCCCCTACTAAAATGCATTTTATTCTTCAAATTATTCATTCGATTTACTCACCATATAAACGCAGCAAACAAGTAGTAACACTCTCTGCATTTTTGTTTCTTCTGCAGTTCTCTGTAGAAATGTGAAACGTGATAGTACATGTACTTGTCCTATATATATATATGCTTAAACTTATCATAAATTTCTTATCCTGACAGTCAATAAGTACTCACCAAGAAAGTGCTCAAGAAACATATGTTCTCCGTGAACTTTCACATATCAATTTGTCCTTTCTAACCAGAAAGTTGCCCTAGAGGAACCTATATCTTCAGAAAGGGCAAAATCAAAACATTACAATGACATGAAATTCAGAAATGAGACAAGATTGCTAAGAAACTTTAATTTCACAAATATGATCGAACTTGCATCAATGAAAGATGACTTGATGCCTCTATTTTCCTTGCACTGTTCTAAAGATAACTAGCTAATCTGATAAATTTTTAGTGTTGTACTTCTCATTGCAGACGACGTCCCTATATGAGTGAAAAATTCTCGAACGGACGTTAAACACCATACAATCAATCAATCAATCTCATTGCAGACTTCTCCAAGTGTGATATACATAAACAAAGTGTCATGTCTTGTGGAGACCATACTGGGATTGGAGTGAATGACATCAAATTAAGTTTTGTTTTAAAATTGAAATTTATAAAAAAAATAATGATAATGAAAACAAAATTATTCATTTCATTGCCTGTTATAGAGCCCATTTTTTTTACAAAACAATCCACAAGCTAGCAACAAAGGTCATCCCAGAAGAAGTATATCTATCAAAGATTATTTTATTTTATTTTTTAATTTGCTTTGAATTTAGAAATAATTTGGTTAATGAGATCTAACCACGAGTTTACTCCAAAACAGTTTAAGAAAATCATAAAGACGTCTAAATGACGCTGATGCATTGTCGATACATATACATGTATAATTATATATTTCGATCATTAAATTTTTTTATCTTTAAAATAAAAAAGTGAGTTAACATGCAAATTTAATAAGACACTGTGTAGTTTACAGGTAGTACTCAATTCTATAGAGGACCTTTCATTCACAATATGACTAGAACTAATTTTAGATATCCTACAATGTATCTTACTCGTTATTATTTAATCGCTCAATCATGTCTTAAATAAAATGTTTATTTCACAAAGTTTGATAAAGCATTACCAGAAAAGTTGAGCACTGTTTATCAACAATTCAATGAGAAAATTAGAATATTCAGATAAAAATATTTCTTTCTATGCTGTCCACAGCAATAACAAAACAATGTTTTTTACACATGCCCACCAACATCACTCTAAATGACCCGAGGTGTCAGTGCATGGAACATATTTTTGGATTCTCTTCAGTATTGCAACCACCATACTGTGCTTCGAATTCTTATATTTCCACATGAACGTAAATATTGAAAATTTAATGAGCTCTAAATGTCTGTTTTGGGACATTCGCAGGAGATCATATTTTGTTGTTTGTAATTGACAATTATTGATTGTGAAAAAAAAATATTTTAATCTTAAACACCCTTTTAATTATTCTGATTTAAATGAAATAATAATACATGTACTATGGAATCAATTTAATTCGCGCGCGCGCGCGCGCGCGCGTGTGTGTCTGTGTGTGTGTGTGTGTTTGGGGGGGGGGGGGGGTATGTGTTCTTGGGCAATCCAAATTCTTACTGTTGATAAGGACGTGGTTTCTTGGGTAACTGATTTATACAGGAGATTCAATAAACTGACACGTTGATAGAGTTGTGTTGGGTCATATTTTGGCTTACTTGATATATACCAATTGTTAGGCTTTTGTTTTTGTACTGAATAGACTACGGATAGTCCCCTCTACCTGATCTATACATAGGGCACATGGAAAGTGTGACGGATAAACAGGGGATGATTACTCCTCCTAGGCACTTGATCCCACCTCTGGAATTTCCAGGGGTCCGTGTTTTATGCCCCCTTCACAAATTTGTATTGTTTGTAGATTTTTTTTAATATCAATCACTCTTTGTTATCTTTACCTTTTACATTTGTAAGGATAGGAATCAGCGAACAATGCACCACCAGGAACAATGATGACTCCACATTAATTTATTAGCAATTACCTTATATTTTTGAGGCAACTTGATTTCAGGTTTATGATCTGAAAAAGTAAATCCCACTCTATAATATGCTTAGTTTACCCAATATTGTTTCGAAATATGGTATTATGGAGAAAGATTAAGTGTCCTTGAGAACGGTTTGTAAAGTTTTCAACAATTAATTAAGTAATAACACACTGAATCGGAAAGATCTTATGCACAGCCTGCTTTAGGCTGATCCCAGTTTTCGGGTAGAAACATCTCTGAAAATTCATAGACTTAAGCCTATTTGAAGTTGCAAAGGGAAACAAAGGTGACAATATCTTTTTATGTGAAAGGTGAAAATAGAGATCAGTTATCAATCTCATGAATCTAATAAAGAAAACAAATCGTGAACCGGGCAAAAGAACGGATCCCTGGAACCATCAGAAGTGGGATCAAGTGCAATGGAGGAGAAAACACTCCCTGTCATCGGTCAAACCCAAAAGTAAGCTTTTTATTTTTGAAAAGATTTTAGGTTTAAAATTTGCAAAATTTCTTTGGAAATTTTAGAACTCACACTTGATTTACGCCACGTCTTAAATATGTTGTAGCACAATTCGTCTCAAGTTTCTCATTTACAGCAGTTAATATTTTGGTGAGGAATAAGGATAGAGGTTTGTTGAACATTTAATGGACGTTGTAAAATATCTTTGTAAGGTAATGGAATCCAGTATAGGTAGAATATATCATACAGACTTCCATTGTCTAGAATGATAAAAATAATAAAACTAGTACTGCATAAAATGTGATTTAGAAGAATTTCATCTTTTGAAAGGGAACTATTGGTACAATTTGGATTACTAGAGGTGGAATTAAAACCGAGTTCTTCTAAAATGCAGTTGTAAAACTGAGCCTCACAAAGACAGTATTGTAATATATTATATACATTGTATATTATATGAAATATGGAGATAACGAACAGTATTCAAGCTCAAACTCCATTAAAACAATACAAATCAGGAGCAGAGCTAACACAGACCTTTAAAAAAGATCAGAGGTGGGATAAGGTGCCATGGAGGAGTGAGCATCCCCTGCCGACCGTGTGCTCCTTTTCATGATCGGGAAATAATGGAAAAATTCGTCGACAATTCAGTGTAAATAATGGCCTAACAATTATCATGAAATTGTTAGTCAGCAAATGACTTAATGATAGAATGTATATGCTATCAAGGTCACTGTGTCGACCATACAACTTACAAAATGATAACTTTAAACCTAACTGTTGATATTCTTGTTTCATCAACTTGTTCGTCACTTATATGATATGTTATAATATCAGCAGAATCAAAACATAATTTTCATGCAGTTTTCATATTGCAAATACATGGAGTTTGCATGTTGCCCTTTTATTTTTGTAATGCGATTCTTTAATATATTTCTAAGACGCTTCATCCATTCTGACAATCTTTTCATTTTTAGCCTATTGCCTAGCATACTAGTAATCCTCGAAGTAATGGAAATGAAGTTCTGTCACCATTTGAAAGTTCTTTTGGGGTCTATGAATTTAGGGCTTTAAAAAATTAGCTTTAAGGTTGTGATTTTGAAGTACACCTACATTACAGCTAATGATATTCCAAGCTGGAATATAGCTAAAACAAGAGGAAAAATAAGAAAACGTGTGAGGATTTTGATTAAGGTGGCCAGGGTAGACTTTGAAATTGAAAATTTTGGATGCAACGGTTGTGTAATATCTTTAGGAGATGCAAGGTGTAGAATTCTAGTTAAAATATGGTTGAATACAAGACTAAATTATTTTATGATTAAGAATGTTGCTAATGTTTAAAGAGTGCAAGTGATTTAAATTGCCTCCAGTTATTTATTTAATTAAACATGATTAATAATATTTATAAAATTAATAATTCCAAAAATTCTTGTCTTCCTTTCAATATCAATATCAGGTTTTGATTACGCCTTTGCTTGGGATATCTGTCCCATTAGGACACTTTAATTATATTTGTTGAAAAATTTGATTCACAATAAGGTCAAATTGATACGTGAAAGTTTACAGAGAACATAATCAGGAAACCGTGAGCACTTTAAGGTAAGCACTTACTGACTGCCAGGACAAGAGATTTGTAGTAAGTCTAAATGTACTCATAAAACAAGCACCTGGTCAATCACGATTCACATATTTCTAGAGAATTTTAGAAGAAATAAATAAAAAAATAATAAATAAAATCAGAATCTTTGCATCAGATTGCTGCATATGCATTTATAAGGCAAAGAGATTAAAAACAGAATTTGAAAACATTTTGTATTATAAGATTTATAAGATTTTCTCTTAGGGAAACGAGTCTTAAAAAAGCTGTCGGTGCAACACTGACGGCGTCGAAACGTAGCTTGTGGCGTTTGTGCATTTATTATGGAATCGTGCTTCTGATTAAATTCGTCTGAAGCATAAATTCGACACTGTATTTAATCTCTTTTAGTTACTAAGTTATCCATATAAGATATTAGCCTTACCAAAAGATCGTGGAATTAATTCCTTTAATTTATTAGAAAATTTCCCAACCCCGATCATAAATCTAACTGCCCGTATAGTTGAAAGGCGATCGCCTTGTATGACGTTCAGCTCCTGACTTTTCAGTTTGTGTTCATTTCTATTCTACGAAATGCTTCTTCCATTGAATAACCAGTCAAGCCATCCTCGAACCTCTTCAACTAGGTATAGATATGTGTCCGTGATATACGTTTGAGTCGTTCCGTCGTTAACATCTCTTTTCCCGCTCAGTACAGTACTACTTGATAATTTGGTGCTCCACATTATAGCCCAAAGTCACAATTTTTGACAATATCTAACTAAAAGTGTTTAGGCATTTAACGTCACATTCTTGTCACTTATGATGCCAAATTAATGAATTTTTACACATGAGTACTCCAGATCATAGAGTTTCTACGGAGGTAATTTTTTTTCATATTATATTTCCGTATAGCTTGGTAATAAAGACAACTTCATTAACAATGATATTTCCTAAACTAAATAAAAATTGCCGTGCGCCGACCACCGATGTTTGACACACTTTAAATGCTGTTGTTACATGATCATGACATTACAACATAAAAATATTTTGTCAAAATAACGAAAATATCACTTTCCAACAAAGTGCAAAAAATTATTAATTTTGATTGAATAGTTTTTGAAATACTTAAAAAAAGTTCGCGTTTTCTGGGGCAACCCTCGTACAGATAAATAAGAAAAAAATGCATATAAAAATAAACTAAAAACAATACTGATTTTAACCCTAATTCCTTGCAACTAGATAGTATTGTAAAATCAAATACTTCTTTGATGTGTTACATCTTTCTGACCACCTACAAATATCTAAATCTTCGTCATTTAGTTATTTATACATGATTAATCATATTAACAAAATAAAAAGTTCCAAACAATCTTTTCTTTTAAATTCCATAACCATGCTTTGATTTTGAAATTGCTTGGGGTATCTATTCCGTTAGGACACTTTATTTATATTTGCTAAAAAATGATTCATAGTAAGGACAATTAAAATGCGAAAAGTTTAAAGAGGACATAACCGGTACTTAAAGCACTTTTAGGTGAGCACTAATTGACTTTCAGGATAAGATATTGTGATAAGTTTAGATGTACATATCATATATGGTCAATCCCGATTCACATTTTTTTCCCGAGAACTTTAAAGGAAATAAAAATATGCTCAGAATCTTTGCATCATTGTGCTGCATTTATATGGTTAGTAGATAAAAAACGATTTAAAAACATCTGTACTCTTTATTTTAAGTTAGTTACCAAAGTTATAAATAAAGGCATTAAAATTTTGATTCGGTTTACTTTCACATGGTCAAAGTCAAAAATGAATGTTGGTTTGAGCTTATCTGAATTTATCTATATATAGCACTTACATTTGATTTTTTTTTGTTACCCCGCTGTTTCTGTTTAAAGTGAGAAAATTGTAAAAGGAAAAAATCATGTAATCCCATATATAACTTGATAAGACTCAATATTGCCGCCCAACATTCCCCCCAGGATTCTAGCTTTAGCGGTTATGGTTTGAATAAAACTTGTTTCTTTTGCCTGGGAATTCTTGCAAATTAGCAAGCTTTTTTTTTGTTTATTTTACCCAGGTCAAACTTAGATCTCATAATGTTGCCCCAACCAAGCATACATTGTAAGCCTGTAAATGAGCACTGTCTGGTAACATTTATATATAAGTATTTAAGTATTTAAGTATCTAAGATTGTAACCCTGAACGTATTTCTTGAGAAGATCATCTTATTTTTCCTTATTTATTTCTATTTAAACTTTTTCGCATAGCGTTTTCCCCACCTTATCACGTTATGCTACAAACAGAATAAACTTTTAATGCGCAATCAATGAGAAAGCTTCTCTTTAAATTTCACTTTTGGTCTATTCTGACCTTAATTACATAAGCAAGAACAAGAAGGCATAAAACATATTTTCGTCAATTTAAGCCCAAGCCATAAAATACACTGAATTGAAATTCTTCACATCGCAATCTATACGTTGATTACTCTATTATAAGGGTTTCATTACTATATCATAAAATATAAGGATAACGAACAGCATTCAAGCTCATGGTCCATTTTAACAATTCCAATCGGGAGCAGAACAAACACGGACCTTCAAAAACATCATTTACCATGGAGGAGTAAGCGTCCCTGTGTCAATCGGTCACACCCACCGTGTGCTCCTTGTCATGATCGGAAAAAAACGGAAAAATCCTTACAATTTCAGTGTGTAAAAAATGGCCTTACAATTAGTATGAGAAATATCAGTGAGCATTTCGATTGAAAAATTGAAGTCATCACGTTTATCATAAAGCTTTGTTGTTAGATTACCATTAACGTCTTTTTCTAATTAAATATCCAAATATGAAACAGATGTGTCAGACTCTGAGGTATCTTTTATCTTAAGCTCACCGGGATATATCGTGTCGACATAAGAATGGAAATAACCATTGTTAATTGACAATACGTCGTCGATATATCTAAATGTCGAGTTGAAGGCCACAGCAAGTGTTTTCTTCTTTTCACGTAAAAGCTTTTGAACAAATTCTGCTTCATATGAATACAAAAATAGGTCTGCTAATAACGGGGCGCAATTGGTACCCATGGGAATTCCAATAGATTGTTGAAGACCTGGTCTCCAAAAACAACTTTGATATTGTCAATCAGAAACTCGAGCATCTTTTTAATGTCAACTTCAGAGTATTTGTGTTAACAATCAGATTGTTTTTTTAACAAATGATTTTGCAAATGACCAATGACAAGGTGAGTAAATTTACGAGTTCCATTTTTATTGAAAAAGCAGTTGTCAACGATGTCAAAAAGTCTGGACCTTAATTTATCGTGAGGAATAGTTGTATATAAAGTTGAAAAGTCGTAAGTTTTTATGTTGTTGATTTTGGTAAAATTTTGTGATTTCAAAAGTTCCAAAAGTTCCTGGAATTTTTTAGTATCCATATGTGATTTACACCACTTCTCAAATATATTGTTGCACAGTATTCTCGGAGTTTCTCCTTCACTACTGTTAATATCTTAGTGAGGAGTAAGGAAATAGTTCTTGCACAATTGTCGTTTTATTTGAATCAGATCACTGGCCCTAATTAATTACCTGGAGCAGCGAGGCCAAAATTTATTTGTATTGCTAGTGTATTTTATAAATTAAAAAAAAAGAAGACAAACTTTTTTGACACTTTAATTCTATATATGCATGCAATAACTAATGTGTTTACAAATAAATAACTGGAGGTCACTAAGTTGCTTTGCAGTGGTTTGTAGCAAATTAGTTAATCTGATAAATATGGGTGTAGTGCTTCACATTACAGAGCTGTCCAAGTCTTGCATTCATGGCCACCAGAGCATCGTGTGTTGTGGAGACCATAGTGGGGTTTGAGTCGATGATATCGATGACATTTTTCTGAGGAAATTCAGAATCAAAAACATATAGACAAAAACATGTAACTTTGATTTCAAGATCTTTCAATACCAAGAGAAAATATCTTGCAAAGGGGGGGGGGGGGGGGGGGTTACGACAAATCACAGTTGCTTCTTTTGGATGTATCTCCATGCATCGAAAAGAATATCGTATTCCAATATAAACATTGCACTATAAACTATAACTTAGAAATTTAGACAAATTACCAACTCTATGTTTGATTTGCACATTATTTTTTTTCTCTTTCGTAATAATGAACAAAGGGGAATGTTTAAATATATTATAATTTTATGCATATATCATGTGCTACAAAGGTACATGGTATATATAACAGTTGTTTTAATTTATGTTTTTGAAATGTTTCTTCACTTTTGCAGTAAAAGCGGAAGTTATTTTTCGCCTTGTAAAAGTAAGATTGTTCTTTTACAAAAGTGTTTTGAGAAAAGGTCACCCTCAAGAGGTTTCCTACTTTTTTGTACATTTGTAAGCAATTTATTTCAATCTAAAGGTTGAGGAGTAAATAGATTAAATATTACGATACCCCGACAATTCTAAAAAAGGAATTCATTTGCAGATTGTATACATGTACCACTACAAGAAACTTTACGTGTTTACTTGTTTTTTACTTGTTAATAAACTTGTAAATTGTTACTTGTGAACTTGTAAAAAAGTAAACTTTTAAGTTGCTAGTAAAACACTATTTCATTCCAGTTAAGCAGAATTCCAGATTTTTATAAATATTTCCCAGTAAAGTATATAACGTAGTAAGGAACCAATGTACTTGCTGTTTTCAGCAGATCGAGACTTATGTTTGTTCGGACTCTCTATATGTGCGTCTGTCATAAACTATACCTTATGAAATTTAAGATTCAAATATTTTGCACGTGCATTGGTTGGTATCGAAGAAAAGCAAAATAGCCGATTCCTTAAACTTGAGGGTTGACCTGCACATTGTAATGGTGTCTAACTATATATATTTCTTCAACGTGGAAGAGCAGGGTTTATTTTCTTATACATGTGCAGTGTTCGTTACAAGACCTTTTATAAAGTATTGAGTTTCATGACCTTGTTTTCTTGAAATTATCTATTTAAAGTATAAAGTTTTTATAATTTTTTGTCATTTACTCTTTTTTTCAAAAATTAGTTTCTTTTTTCTAATCTTTTCTACAAAAAAGCAAATGCACCTTTCAAGTAATTTATAAAAATATGTTGGGTTTCTTTAATTTTCTTTACATAGTAGAGACAGTGACAACATATTTAACTAACAAAAGATCCTGCTTTAACTAAATCTCATTTCATTTACCAATATTGATAAACCTTATCAACGATAATATCATTTTTATTTTAGTTTTACTTACCTCGACTGTATGAAGTCCATGTGACGAATGAACATCTATCTGTTCCTGTGGACTTGTTTTATATAGGTAACACGTATGTGCAGATCTTACTAACAAAATATGCTACAATGTAATGTTTATAAAAAAAATCCATCAGAATAGAATTCATCTTTATTAAAATACTTCAAGTTCACAAAATGCGAAAATGTCAGCAACTTTTTTTTCAATCAATTATAATAGGAAACGGTTAACTTAAAGTCAATATAACAAAAAATAACCCCTATTGAAATTTTATGGCGTCACAGAATCCTTCTACAAAGCACTTGCTTTCAATTTTTATTATCGTGTAATATTTGTAAAAGAATATTAATAACCGCCCATGCGATAGCCGTACTGTGTAGAAAAATATTTATTTACCGTGTGGTAGTCGTAAAAGAATGCGAAGAACTCTCCAACTGACGCCTCGTGTGTGGGATGCGTTCCATGAGAGTGTGTTTGGTGGGCATGTGTTGAGCGGTGAGGCCGATGTGTTGTACTTTCGGCTGCAGCCTTAGAAATAAAATTTTCCGTTTTTAAATTGCATCATTGGAAAAGAAACACAATTTATCTGATAATGGTAAAAGGGAAGCGGGACACACTTCATATGACACAAATGACTACGTCATAGTCCCTGTTAAGATGCTTAACATTATTAAATTCATGAAAAGTTGTGTAAGTTTTGTTCAATTTCTTGTGCTTCATCATCTAATATATAACTGAGGCAAGCTACTGACATATAAAATCATGCTACAGGGATTTCAACAACTTCGTTTAATATCAGCATTTCGTAAGTTCTATGATCGTTGTAATGACCTTGTCTGCAAATACAATTTATCAATCAATATGGGTCGTATTTTGGATAACATATTTCATACCAATTGTTAGGTAACTGGATTTTAAACTAAGCTTGACTGCAGATTATTCCGTCTTCCTGATCAATACACAGGGCTAATGTTAGATGTGATCGGTCATCAGGGAATACTTATTCCTGCTTGGCACCTGATCTCATCTCTGGAATTTCCAGGGGGCCTTGATTTTCTGCCCTGTTCACAGATTTGTATGATGTGTAGGTTTTTTGAGATTGTTCACTATTCGTTATCATCATGTTTGTCATAAAAATAGTTCAAATTTTTAAAGTTAATATTTATATTTACAAATTGTAAAGAAGATTTATTGCCATAGTCAGCTCATGGAGAGGTTTTATTGATAAAGGGAACACAATTAAAATTTTTGTGTACTACTAATTGCTAGCAGAGACTGTCTTTATATCTTATATCGCTTGTAAAACTTTCGTATGACGTCTTAGTTGTTTTTCCCATTCTCGGTAAATGTACACATTTAACTTATAATCAAGCTTACATGTACATCGTGTTCAACAATAACATCAGATACTGGCCATATGTACATGGGATAATCATCGCTCTATTCTATCACAATACCTTCGTTATATGTAACTGTCCTCCTGGCAACTGATCAGTTGAAACAAACAACATATACACACGACACTTGACGCTCTGACATCCAATCAAATTGCGGTAGAAGGAGCTTATTCCTTTATAGCAATTTACCAAGAAATTTAAATATAGGTTTTGAACTCTCTAAACGCCTATTACTTGTTATAATAGACACAATCACATTATTATTACGAACTGCTGCCAACTTGTAGTTGTTGATGTAAACCTGTAATATCAAGTGCTGTAAAGTTTCTTACAAAAACAACACCTATTTTGTGATTCTGTGCTTTTTAGCTTACCTGAGCCGAAAGCTCGAGTGAGTTTTTCTGAGAAAAGAGTGCCCGGCGTCCGTCTGTCGTCTGTAAACTTTTCGCATTTTCTACTTCTTCTCAAGAACCACTGGGCCAATTTCAACCAAACTTGTCACAAAGCATCCTTAAGTGACAGGGATTCTAGTTCTTTTTTTTTTTTTTGAATAAAGAGCCATGCCCTCTTTCAAAGGGGAGGGGGGTAATTAAGAATTCGTGAAAATTTGGTGGCATCTTTTAAAATCTTCTTCTCAGAAAAACACTTGGCAAAAAAAGATGGAACTTGCTTGAAAGCTTCATTACATGCTCCTCTAAATTTACGTTTGTTCATATCATAACCCACCGGTGGTAGGGCGGGGCCACAACAGGAGGTCAAAGTTTTACATAGGAATATATAGGAAATGTCTTTAAAAATCTTATCGAGAACAACAAAGCCATGATTAGTCCTATTTATAGACATATCCTCAGGTAGTGTAGATTCAGTTTTGTTCAAGTCATGATCCCCGAGGTAGGCGGGACCACAACAGTTGGTCAAAGTTTTACATAGGAATATATAGGAAATATATTTCAAAATCTTTTCAAGAAACACTAAACCATTATTAGTCATATTTATACAGAAGAAACGTTAGATATTGTAGAATCAAGTTTGTTCAAAATTATGACCCACAGGGTTCAAAGTTTTACATAAGAGTATATTGGAATTATCTTGAAAAATTTTCTGTTCAGCCAATGATCATGCCAATGTGCTCAGGTGAGCGATGTGGCCCATGGGCCTTTTGTTTGATTCGACTCCGTTCCTCAACCAATCAGCTGAACGCCAAAGCCAATGAAGAACAGAAAGAAGTTAACGTTATTGAAATGAGTCGTATTAAAATATTGAGTGAAATATTTTCAATTGATAAATTGATTCCTCGATAAATATACAGTGTTTCTTGAAAAGATTTTAAAAGATATTTTCTATATTTTCCTATGTAAAACCTTGACCAACTGTTGTGGCCCCGCCCTACCTCGTGGGTCATGGCTTGAACAATACTGAATCTACACTACCTGAGGATACGTCTATAATAATATGACTAATCATAACTTTGTTGTTCTCGATTAGATTTTTAAAGACATTTCCTGTAGAATCAATTTATAAATCAAAGGCATAGAGCATATAATTATACATGTATATATATGTACCGCATAGCATATTCTTCGGGGGGGGGGGGGGGGGTTGCTTGTTTAAAGGTATGCCAGAAAGTTTTGTCGGACACATACATGTAGTTCCAGGACGTTGTGAAAGGAAGTTCATCTTCTAGATGAGTTTCCAGTACGTTTAATATACGTTTGAATGCGACTTAGGCAAGAGTTTGAAGAAAAACCAATACCAAATGAAAGATATATTGTTTAACAAAGACTGATCAAAGTTATATTTCTTGTATGCAGTATTTATACACAAAGTTGCATATTTAGCGTGTAAAATTTTAACAGGCTACTTCAAAACCACTAAAGTTAGCACCCCGCTTAGAATTCCCGCTATACAGTATATAAATCTGGTTTTGTTTTTTATCCCACTTCTTATGCTTTCCGTGTTTCCTCTACTCACAATTTGTATTGTACTTTTAAGCATGAATACTGTTCTTTATCTTAAAATGTTATACATATTTTATCGCATGGTTTACAGTGTTTTTATAAATATATTAATTCACATTATTTGACCTCATCATTTTTCCGCAAAAAGCTATTGTCACGTCACAACTGTTGATATAAAAACGATATCATATGATCGGTATCCACTGTATAAAGTATTAAACATATGATAAAAAGGAATACAAAGTGTTTCCAAATTGTCTCTGATCTACTCACCAAATAAACGAAACACAAGGACAAAAAGATTCTCAGCATTATTTCTGTCAAGTAAAGTTCTCAAAAGAAATGTGAATCGTGATTGACAAGGTCCCTATTTTATTTCCAGATGAATATGCCTAATCTCTTATCCTGACAGTCAGTAAGTACTCACTAAATAGTCCCCATGATATTCTATTTATGTTATACTGATTTCTCTGTTAACGTTCAAGTACATTTGTACTAGTAAAGGGCCCTCTATACACTAATGAAAACTGTTTTTGGACATTAAGAACAATTATTTTAAAAATAATAACAAGACTTAAAGATCACGTGGAGATGGCTTTGGTTGGTCATGCATATGTGATCAAATGCGTCCCTAGAAACCCGAGGGGGCTATTCGTTAAATTTGATTACGTACAAACCAAGTAAACTATTTTACTTTCAGTGCAATATATTTGATTCGTTTATTTTGGCCTAATAAAGTGGGGGAAAACATTTACAACGAAACAAAACAATACAAAACTAAATACAAAACAAACCCAAACAACAAAATGCTTGCGTTGATGACAAAAGGAGTAATGCACAGTATACATCTTTCAATTTTATATCAGATCTGAAGAGCAGTTCTCTCTACAAACAAACAAACAAACAAAAAAAAAAAAAAAAAAAAAAAAAAACTCTTTATTGTGTGGTGTATTGAGAATCCTTGAATAAACCCGTTGTATATAAAGATATTTCATGTTTTTGAGGGTTACGTGAAATCATTATCCTGCGAAAAATCATTGTTGACCGAAGCAAAGCCCTAAAACATACAGCATACATTTTTCGGTATATTGAATTTTTTAGAATGCTGTCACTGTGAACAGTTGCATTTTTTTTTTACACAGTTACATATGCAAAATTTTCAACCGAGCCTATGTAATATTGTACGGAGGGCTTTGCTTAGGGTGGGGCCAAATCTTTAAAAGAACAGCAAATCCATGATAAGTCATATCAATATGGAAGCATCCTCACATATTTTAGATTCAAGTTAATTCAAATCATGACACCTAGGGTAGGGTGTGGTCACAACAGGGAATCAAAGTTTTACATAGGGATATAAAAGGGAAAAATCTACTGATAAAGAACAGTAGGGTCATATTGACTCAGGTGAGGACTTTTGTTTTATATTGGGATGTTTATTTTTTTTCATAATCTCAACAAAATTTGTAAACTTTTACGACTGCAAAAGGATCACTCTACTGAGTAGTTGTAGAATGTAGAAGTTAAGAAACTTTCATCCTGTTTAACTGTGGTCTAAAGTATTCAAGAATTATATTATTCTTGTAAAAAAAATTTATTAACCGCAGATCTGTACCTCGCTGCGATCTCCAGTCTGTCAATTTTTTTTTTAAAAATTCTGAAGTTATAATATATTATAAGATATGCATAAATCATGTTTAACAAACGTGTCTAATTCGAACACAAGATAAACTATGTACTACTTTGGGGTCAATATTTAATGAATAGGGTCCATTTTCAACGCGTTGAGGTCATCAATGCTGAGAAAAAATACCAATCCGTAGAATCATGACTATTGATTTAATACATTTTGAGCTCTATTGATTTAAAAAAGATTTAAATTGTTTAATTGTTGATTTATTATTTAATGCCATATTAAGGACACGACTGATATTGATTTTAACCCAGGTATTAATTGCACGATTTTTGGTCTCAATTTTGAATATTAAGCGAGGTTCAATAATCAAAGTTGAAAAATGAACCTCATCGACGACAGGAACTGATGAACAAAGAGATATGTATTAATAGAAGTTGACTATAGTCCCGTAGGCAGTAATTTCAATTTGGAGGGGGGGGGGCACAATCATGCATTTTACAGTTGCAATTCCTTGACAAGCAAAATAAAAAAAAAAAGAAAAAAAAAGTCATCAGAGGTTATTATTGAGAGGCACAAGCATATAGTAGCCATATTTTCTATATCATTCTATATACTAGTATCGGCAAAATTATTCGGGGTGGGGTGGGGGCGGCCCCAGTGCCTCCCCCCCCCCCCCGGTTCCTACGGCAATGACGACAATACAATATGTGCAGGACAACAATATGTATAAACAGTCAAAAAAGATAAACTAGTCATAATATATACTTCTTTTATGCATAGAATAATAGAGTTTTGGTTTCAGTATTTTAACTTTCATCTTACTTTTTTCATCAGATACGATAATTCAGTATTTTAGCATTCCATTCGTGATATTGAATAAATTCTTATATAACTTGCTATACATTATGAACTTGCATAAAGGTTTTTAATTTTAAATGTTCATATAATTTATCTTTATTTCAACTTTTTGAACAAAATATGAAAACAATATTAGTTTATTTTATCACAAGAAGTAATTATTTTCTGTTAATTTAAACACCTGATGCAAAACTGAATGTTATCAAGTGTCATTGCTAATAACCCTTTCTGTGCCTCAACCTGCATCCATATAAACGCACATGGAAGGAAACGCAGTGGATTTACACGTGCCTTGCTTGACGATCGAAGTCACGGTGACCTGCGATGGCCTCAGCGAGTTTCCGAATCCCCGATTTGCTCATTAAAAAGAGGGACGGGAATGCCCTCAGCCCCGAGGAAATTAAATATTTTGTCAGGGAGGTGGTCAATGGAGGAGTGCAGGAATGTCAGCTTGGTAAGAGAATACGTAATACGTACAATTCTTAGTTTATGTGAAGTTATAGCTGTGACGTTTTTTATTAATTATCTAGGAACCAGCAGTGTGAGAGGGAGCCTTCCCCCTATTCTCTTTAGAGAAATGGACAGGCTTTCGCCTGGATGAAGACGAAAACCTGTCCACTTCTCTAAAGAGAATCCCCCCCGCACTACAAGGAATTCACGACTAATTAATCATTAAAGCTACTGGCAAAAAACTCTTTTGACCTTTCCGATAGACAACACGATGAGGCCATGTTGACATCTATATAGAAAAAAAACTGCATCCTCTTGAAAAATCCTGGACCAAACCTTGCAGAGAGAGAGAGAGAGAGAGAGAGAGAGAGAGAGAATGAGCTACATGTGGTACATGACAGTAATTTTTCATGACTCTGTCAAATTGCATTACACACGTGTGTGCTACGTTTTAAACACATATTTTCACCTGCATATCAACAAAATACATAAATAAAAATAAATATAGTAGGCCTGTAACTGTTTACAGAGACACGAACGCACACTGTTCACATTTATCTGATGCTAATTAGAGTTCTACCAGGCTCCAAGAAATGGCTTGGCATATTCTGATATCTCTCATATATTGTTGATCTTGTGGTGAATTATATCGACAATCAATTATGTATTAAATACCACTGCAAATCTAAACGCTACTTCTACAATGCTTACAAGTATTTCCGGGGCGAATTGAAGGAATTTAACCAGATATATAAGATAAATGTAAAATAATAAATCTGCTTGAAATACTTCCAACAGAAACAGGTCATTCAGGAAAAAAGAACAAAAGAATTGTTTATAATGTGACCTACAGCATAAACTTGTTTAAATTAGTGAAGACACTAAAAACTTTACATGCAACTCCCTTTTAAAATCGCTTGCCTAAAAATCCCTTCAGTGAATTAAGAATTGATTCAAATTCACGTACAATAAAATTCCTTTGTGGCAATTCTCAGATGGATGTCGATTTCACCACCTATACAATTCGATAGGTAGCTCCGTGGTTTGTTTTCACTTAATCAGGTAATCGAAAGGGTTCTACATAGATGGCGATCGTGTAAAAAAAATTATCTCAACGTGTCGGTCAAATGATAAACAACAAGGCATGTCCTAATGTAAAGCAAGAACTGAAATATATCTATTATCATAACCTGTTGGTCACAAGGTAAACCAACATAAAAAAATCAAAATGTAGTGATAATTTCCCCTCTCACTTCAGTCAGCATGATAAAGAATATGTACTTAAATGAACACCCGATATCTGAAGCAAATTGGATCGATAGAAAATTTAGTTCTGGTGTGGTTTGTTTATCGTTTTCAACATTGAACAAAGCTCCCAAAAGTGAAACGTCGATAATAAAGTTATTTTTTATAAACTGTTTTAATTTTTGGCAGTGCAATTGTCATGATTGATTTCAAGAAAAAAGAACCTTTGGTGGGGGGAAATGCTGCTTTTGCCATACGTGTGAGTTTTGAAAATAAAAGAATTAAACGAATATCGTTCTAAGGGCTCAAAAGTTCAATTTGGTCAGAAAAACATGCCAAAAAATATATATATTTTTTAAAAATTTTGTGTTTTACCTTGTCGACCCCGTTCATTTCTGCGTACAGATGCATTTATATAGACTGTCACAATCTGTGATTGCTCCTATAGGTTAAAATCAATATACATCTAACTATTGCACATCTGTCCGCGTATATATATATCGATGACCTTTGGTGAGGTCGTTCCATGTAAATATACGGAGAATGAATAATCAATGAAAGTCAAATATTTAAATGTTTGCCTGGACGTTAAGTCGATAAAACACGGGTTTTCCAGGTTCAAGTTCTAGGCAGACCAAAGACTTTTCATGATGCAAACTAAAGACAATATATTAAATGGAGTTTGACCTATATTACTATATGATGCATGAAGTATTACAAACCTATAAAATTGAATCTGTAGTGTTAAGTTTGTACTGTGACAGACTGAAGGTATGTCTATAATGTGTCTATCTTTTGTCTATTATTTTTGTATTATAAGCTGATAACTGTCATGTGCGCATATGATAATTCGCATTAATTAGTAATTACTGCAAGTCCAGCTTAGTTGGTTCTCATCCTCATAATTAAACCCCCATAATAGGAATATTTACATTTTTATTTCACAGTTATATCCCTACTAGAAACAAAACGGATATCATATATTGCTAGGTATGTTTCCAAGATTAAAACTATCATTATAAACTTTATTATATTTGTATTCCCCACTCTCTTAAAGATCTTATTTAGATACATGTATGGGTCAATCCTTCTGACGTGAAGCACAATGAAAATAGCCCAGAGGTCACACAAGAGACGATGTCGTTATGATTCAAATAGAAGGTTTTTTGACAGAACGTTGCTAAATGTAAATAATTATTTAAAATTGCCTTACATTTAACAAAAATTTGCATATAAAACAATGAAGTTCAGAGGGCAAAGGATTGAATTATAATTTAAAAAAAAAAAAAAAAATTAAATCTTAAGGTAATAGATTAATAGCAACATCGTATTTTGTGTGGCTACTAAATTATATCTTTGTATTTTTATTGGTTGCCCAAAAATCAGAAGGCGGAGCTTATAATTCAATGAGATTTTTTCCCCATTTTTCCATACAGACCAGATTGACGATTTTTTAGATAAAATGTCGGAGATGTTTAAAGTATACTCTTTTGTTGAGAATTATTAAACTTTAACTTTTCTTTTTTTTAAAATTAAATTCATCAATTCTAAAAAGACAAAGTTTTACAGGGGCTAGAGCAATTATATTGCAGGAGCCATGCTGATGGCAGTTTACCTAAAAGGTCTCACAGATGAAGAAATAGTATGCTTTACTGGAGCAATGAAGAACTCTGGAGATGTTCTGGGTCCCTGGCCAGCGGAGTGGGAGGGGAAAATTGTAGATAAACACAGTACAGGTGGCGTGGGAGACAAGATCAGCCTCATTCTGGCACCAGCTTTAGCTGCTTGTGGAATGAAGGTAAGGGTAGCGAGAAAATGTATTATAAAAACATCATCATCTATAATTTATCATCTTCGTCATCAGATTTTCATTTGACTGTCAACTTGAGTGGAATCCAATAAGGAAGACCTATATAACAAAACTACCATAAATGTATTGCACTAACAAATACTGCAATCGCATCGGTAGAAGAATAAAACTGATTTAAATGTTTTTTTTCAGGTCCCTATGGTATCAGGCCGTGGCCTCGGTCATACTGGTGGAACCCTAGATAAACTAGAGTCCATCGAAGGTCTGTCCGTCTCAGCGTCTAAGGATAAAATGCTGCAGATTTTGACGAAGGTCGGCTGTTGCATTGTAGGTCAAACAGACAATCTGGTTCCCGCCGACAAGAAAATGTACGCCATCCGTGACGTCACTGGAACAGTCGACAATATTGGACTCATAGCAGGTTTTGAAGCATTGTAACTTTTGCTGTGTACTGAAAAAGTGCTATTTTATTTTTTTATTTAGCTAATTTTATCGTCATTCTATAGACTGAACTAATGAAACTATCACAAAATTCAAGTTTAGACTGTCTTTTTGGTGCTATACCTTTTCACGTACTTTACGGCATTATCAGAATTATGTAGAAAATGACGCATTTTCTTGGAATTCAATTTGAAATCATGTCAAATGGAACCCCGATACCTATATTTTATTTAATATCATTTTTAAAGAAGATGTCAAAAAGATATGAAAATCCGTTTTCTGGGAGTTGTCTTAGATGGAGAAAACTCTCATTTTTATACCCGAATTTCTCCTTTTTTCAATGAAAAGGAGAGTTTAAAATATATTTTTTCATTGAGTTTATCTAAAAATTATCTCCCAGTACACCTTAATTTATTAAGCTATAATTGTAATGGATTATTAGAGGAATATGTTTCTCAAATTTGAGAAATCTGTAGGCACTCTTCATTTACTAGATCTTGACCTTAAAAATGAGTACAGTAAAGAAAAACTTTTTATATCCTGCTGTCTACTTCAGATTAAGAAAAAATCTGTTATATTGTATTTGAAAAAAGAAAGAGATATCGTTACATGTACATACATTTCCCAACAAACTTAAAACTCTAACAGTATTTAGGAAATGATATACGTTTCGCAATTATTTCAGGTTCCATAATTTCAAAGAAGGCCGCTGAACAGCTAAACGCCCTCGTTTTGGATGTGAAATTTGGTGTCGGTGCTATGATGGTGAATGAAGTCAAGTCCAGAGAACTGGGTAAAAAGATGGTAAGACAGACAGAACACATACATGTAGTACTGTAGAGTATTTAGAATCTGTGCCTCACAAATTAACAGCTTTGGTAAATAAATGTATTTTCAGTATAAATAATCAACATGTTTACTATTAACTGTCAGTTTCTGAATATGTTTTGACATGACTAGTCAGCATGCAATAAATGTTAAGTGCACTCTTTTTATCATAAATTATCATGAATTCAGTCAGACTGTTTTTCAGCAGCTAGTTCAATAGAAAAAAAAATAATTTAAAAATCTAAGAGAAACTTTTGAAATCTTTTCATTTAAGTCAACTTGAAGCTTTAACTAATTCAAAACAGATACTGAAAATTTCGTTTTTAACTTGTTGATCATTTTCTTAATCTTTGATATTAATTTAATTATTTTACTCTCAGTGTCGTGACAGACTGTACATGTACAGGGTGTTTCAGAAAATATGCAACCATTTTGATTGATTATATTTTACTGGTGCTTCAACCAATACCATGCACCAACATATCAAATTAAAAGTCACAATTTCAAGATTAATCCTTATGAAAATAATGTTAATCTGGCAAATAGATAATGAATTACAGAAGAAAAAAGAAACTTGTAAAATTTTACTTAGTAACAAAATAATTGTGGAGGCCCAATTTAATGGATTTGAAAGAGTTGAACGGTCCTCAGAGCATTTGTTCTAACCAGTCAGATTGAAAACATATTTCAGCATCCGATATACACTTGACTTGCTCAATTTTGAGTCGCATTTCTTCACAAGCTCAGTTATTTTACGAAAGGGTTTCATGTGAGTCTCTGGAACAATGCCTCTTAAGTAACATTCTAAATGTTTTCATGTGTTCTCATTCTTTTTCTTCCAATTTTTCCTTTTCTTTGATCATGCATTAACTCTTCCATTAGCTTCAAAATTTTACAGATTTATACAACTTCCACTTTATATTACTAAGTAAGTTCTCTGCTTTCTGTAAACCTTATTTTCATTGTCCTAATCACAGGAAATGGTGACATGCTTTGATAACAGTATCGGAACTTCTGATGATTGCTTCTTAAAGAATGAAAATACCTGTTTTTTAGTGATGTCAAATATGACGTCATTATTAATTCAAATTATACTGATTTCGTAAATTTTTGTTATTAGTGTCAAAACTTAAGCCTTTTTAGCAAAATTGTACATAAAAATTTCGTATGTTTCTGTTTGCGTATCAATAAAGTGAGGAAAGTAAATGGTTGCTTGTTTTCTGAAACACCCTGTATGTGCGTATATAAATAAAGAAATGTACCGATAAATGCTGTTCACAGGTTGACATTGGGAATGGTTTAGGGATAAAGACAGTGGCCCTAATGACGGATATGAACAACCCAATAGGAAAAATGATTGGAAATGCACTTGAAGTAGCTGAATCTGTAAACTGTCTCCATGGAAACGGACCAACTGAATTGGAGGATCTCGTTCTTAGACTTGGTAATAAAAATTACTCAATTTTCAGTAATTTATAATTACAGCTTGAATGAGATAAAAATTAATGAATTATATTATTGGGTCTATTCAACACTAAGTATTTACATTCCATTTGTACGAGGGTTGTTCGGAAAGTTCGTGGACTTCTGTCATATCTTTTTTATTTAACGTCATATTATATCCAAATTTGGTAGAAATATTTTAACAATAAATTCAAATGATTTGTATTAAAAGAAATTTAAATATCTTGATTTATTTCAAACTAATTAGGAATTAAAAACTGCGAAAATTGGTTCGCGGAGCAAGTCAAAATTTAGTAACCTACAAACAATATGTGGTCATTGCCTCTGTAAAATGGCTCAAAACCAAACAAAATCTAGACGATCAAATTAAGAATTGTTACATCGTTTCATATTCCAAATTATGAATGAATAATTTGCTTCATGGAAAAGAAATCAATTTCTGAAAATAGGTAGTCCTCAATGAAAAAAGCAAAAAAAGGTGACGTCGTAGAACGTCACTGAGCAGCAGTTTACAATACAATTTTCTTTTTTACTCGGAGAAACGTCAGAATAAAATCTTTAAATGTTGTAGGAAGCATGAAATATCTCAAAAGCGAGTCATGCATGTGTGTTTATGCAAATGGCCCAGGCGGTATTTGAATGATACGAACTTTGTATCAGACGAGGGCGATCTGCAAGGAAACGGATTATCTGTAAAAATCTAACCAAAACGTTCAGTTAGTAAGGTCTTGGAAAGAGAAAGGCGCGTCACGGTTGCTGATCTTGTGAAAGCATAGTTGAGCGGTAAAAAAGGAAAACATTGACAAACAAAATTATGCATAGGAACAATTGTTAACAAAATAAATTTCAATTGTAACGTCAAATTCAAATGCTCGCGTTGAAGAGTAGTCCGAAATATCTGACGTTTTCCTGGCTTTTTTATGATTTGATATTTTACGTACCAGGTAAACGTCAGAACCGGCGCCATTACGAAAACTGGAAATTTCGCCGTCTGCAACCGGTTGGAGGCGGCGAATTCCCAGTTTTCGTAATGGCGCCGTTTCTGGCGTTTTCCTTACACGTAAAATATCAAATCGTAAAAAAGACAGGAAAACGTCAGATATTTCGGACTAGTTGAAGAGTAACGACTACTCTTCTCAATCTAGCTATAAAAGTGCAGGGTGTTTCATTTAAACAGAAAAAAAATATATTCAAAGAGGCGAATTTTATCAATCTACGATTATATTATTAAATGTAAATATAAGTATTGAAAACTTAGGATGTTCATCATGTCATAACACGGACGGCTTTGCAAACAAATTTTCCCCAGGCCTAACGCGCGATAATCAATTAGTAAGCACCTTCGTCCATGATATGTTTTAGAACGTACATTTCAATGCTTAAATGAAATCTCCGTTTGTTGTTGATGAGCAATCTGATATATGAGAATAGTAGTCAGTTGACACTGGACTCAGCATGTTTTTAATCTGCTGCTGTCATTTTACAATTATTTTAGCTGTTTTATACTTTTTTCAGGTGGACAGTTGTTGTTCCTTAGTGGTAATGCTAGTTCTACAGACGAGGGACAAATGAAACTCAAAGAAACTCTGATTAATGGAGGAGCAGCAAGAAAGTTTAAGGAAATGATAATTGCACAGGGAGCAAATCCAGAAGAAGCCGAAGTCTTGTGTACAAACGGGGCTGATGTATGGAGTGTGCTCCCAAAAGCCAAGTTTGTTACTCCGATCAAGAGCAAATACTCCGGTAATTTGATTCTTTGAAAGGTTTCATTTTATATCTTCTTCACTTTTATTCATTTTTGCAATAAATAATTTGATGTTAATGTCTGTCTTATAGGTTTTGTCTTTGCTGTAAATTCACGGACATGTGCAGAGTGCTCTTTGAAACTTGGTGCTGGGCGACAGGCCAGTAGTGACAAAATTAATCATTCTGTTGGTTTGGAATTATGTGTGGATATTGGGGACAGCATTAAAGAGGGTAAGTCTATCTATACTAAAGGCTGATCTCAGAGTATTTAAAGACTCAGAGTGTGTGTTTAATGCCCCCCCCCCCCCCCTTAAATTCCTCATCCTTTAAATTCAAATCAATGCATCTTATATTCAATTTTTACATTGCTCTTCAGAAAAGGAAAGTAATCAACAAGACAGTTGAGAAAAAAAAACCCTTTACTTTATCATCTCAACAGAATTTTACACGATTGTTGAACACGTTATACATTGAAACGTAGTTTAAAACGTTCGCATTCCTGCATATTTAAACAAGAGGCCCATGGGCCACATCGCTCACCTGAGCACAGTGGATAGGCAAAAGCACAAATCAGTTCAGTATTGAAAAGATTCCGGGGGGGGGGGGGGGGAGGGGGGGGCTTGAATTTTAAACTACCTGATGATGCTTCCATGTCAAAATAACAAATTGCTTTGTTGTACTTGAGAAGATTTTTAAAAAAATTTCTGATATATTCCTTTGTAAAAATTTGATCCCCCCTTGTGGCTCCTCCCTATCCCAGGGGTCATCATTTGAACAAACTGGAATCTACACTACCTGAGGATGCTTCCATATCAATATGACTAAACATAGCTTTCTGTTCTTGAGAAGAAATATTTTTTCTATATGTTCTTATGTAACATTCGATCCTCCACTGGGCCCCGTCCTACTCTCGGGGGTCATCATTTGAACAAACTTGAATCTACACTACCTGAAGATGCTTCCATATCAATATGACTAAACATAGCTTTTCTGTTCTTGAGAAGAAATATTTTTTCTATCCCCCTATTTCTATCCCCCCATTTGGCCCCAACCTACCCTCGGGGGTCATCATTTGAACAAAATTGAATTTACACTACCTGATGATGCTTCCATATCAAAATGACTAATCATGGCTTTGCAGTTCTTCATCAGAAGAAATCTTCCTATATATTTTTATTTCAGACTTTGATCCTCCATTGTGGCCCCACCCAACCCCAGGGGGGCAACATCGAACAAACTTGAATCTACACTACCTGAGTATACTTCCACATAAATATGATCAATCAGGGCTTTGCTGTTCTTGAGAAGAAGATTTTTAAAGATTTTTCCTATATATCTCTATGTAAAACTTTGATCCTCCTTTGGGGCCCCACCCTACCCCCAGGGGTCATGATTTGGACATACTTAAATCTAAACTACCTTAGGTTGCTTCCATATAAATATGACCAATCATGGCTTTGCTGTTCTTGAGAAGAAGATTTTTAAAGGTTTTTCCCATATATTTCTATGTAAAACTTTGATCCTCCTTTGGGGCCCCGCCCTACCCCCAGGGGTCATGATTTGAACAAACTTGAATCTACACTACCTGAGGATGCTTCCGTATAAATATGACTCATCATGGCTTTGCTGTTCTTGAGGAGAAGATTTTTAAAGGTTTTTCCCATATATTTCTATGTAAAACTTTGATCCTCCATTGTGGCCCCGCCCTACCCCCGGGGGTCATGATTTGAACAAAATTGAATTTACACTACCTGAGGATGCTTCCATATAAATATGACTCATCATGGCTTTGCTGTTCTTGAGGAGAAGATTTTTAAAGGTTTTTCCCATATATTTCTATGTAAAACTTTGATCCTCCATTGTGGCCCCGCCCTACCCCCGGGGGTCATGATTTGAACAAACTTGAATCTACACTATCTGAGGATGCTTCCATATAAATATGACTCATCATGGCTTTGCTGTTCTTGAGGAGAAGATTTTTAAAGGTTTTTCCCATATATTTCTATGTAAAACTTTGATCCTCCATTGTGGCCCCGCCCTACCCCCAGGGGTCATGATTTGAACAAAATTGAATTTACACTACCTGAGGATGCTTCCATATAAATATGACTCATCATGGCTTTGCTGTTCTTGAGGAGAAGATTTTTAAAGGTTTTTCCCATATATTTCTATGTAAAATTTTGATCCTCCATTGTGGCCCCGCCCTACCCCCGGGGGTCATGATTTGAACAAAATTGAATTTACACTACCTGAGGATGCTTCCATATAAATATGACTCATCATGGCTTTGCTGTTCTTAAGAAGAAGATTTTTAAAGATTTTTCCCATGTATTTCTATGTAAAACTTTGATCCTCCATTGTGGCCCCGCCCTACCCCCGGGGGTCATGATTTGAACAAACTTGAATCTACACTACCTGAGGATGCTTCCATATAAATATGACTCATCATGGCTTTGCTGTTCTTGAGGAGAAGATTTTTAAAGGTTTTTCCCATATATTTCTATGTAAAACTTTGATCCTCCATTGTGGCCCCGCCCTACCCCCGGGGGTCATGATTTGAACAAACCTGAATCTACACTACCTGAGGATGCTTCCACATGAGTTTCATCTTCCCTGGCTTTGTGGTTCTTGAGAAGAAGATTTTTAAAAGATGCTATTAATTTTTCACTAATTCTTTATTATCTCCCCTTGAAAGAGGGCGTGGCCCTTCATTTGAACAAACTTGAATCCCCTTCATCCAAGGATACTTTGTGGCAAGTTTGGTTGAAATTGGCCCAGTGGTTCTTGAGAAGAAGTCGAAAATGTGAAAAGTTTACAGACAGACGGACGGACAGACGGACAGACGGACTACAGACAAAATGTGATCAGAAAAGCTCACTTGAGCCTTCGGCTCAGGTGAGCTAAAAATTAATTTTCTAAAACTTAAGTTACATATGCTGATTTTTTAAAAATAATTTGATGAACATATTTAAAAGACAAAAGATGAAATTGAAGTGGTATATCAATAAGATAGGTTCTGTTTGTTGACTTGGCAGGTGATGTTTGGATCAAAGTTCATCATGATTGTGACGTCATTCCTAATGATATAAGGGCGCTCTTAAACGATGCCATTGAGGTGCAGTCCTCACAACCAGTTATCCTGCCTACACGTGTCAAGGACATCATATCATAAAAGTCTTAGAAAAGAAACACAGCGTGGTCGTTCAAACTTTTTTTTAAAATTCAGGGATGCATTATACGTGTACTTTACTTTTCTAAAATCTTTATCAAGTCTGTGACTTTTTTGTCAATTTTATTCTTGAAGTCTGATATTGAATTGAAGGCAGCATTTTATTTCTTAATCAAATAAAATCTTGAATATTTTTTAAACGGTCGATCATATTTTTTAATTATATACACCGTTGAGAGTTTTTTATAATTACAAATTTTTGAAGATCTTATGTACGTACATATTTTTTTTTCTATCAAATACTGTTCTTTGTTGATTTTGCAAAAGTACGACCATATCCTTCTCACAAACAACAGTGCTTTATTGATAAGTTTGTTATAAATTCCTCTTGGTACCTGTTAATTTTGTGACGAATGTTTTTGTTTTCATGACAATCCTAGCAGAATCTTTTAAATGCCATTCCTTACGTATATATCACACAACCTTTGGCATGACATCTTTTCTCACCTGGCCCAGAGGATCAAGTAAGGGTTTGCCATCACTAAGTCTTTGCTCCTCTGAAAATAGCGAACAGATTTCTTTTAGACTTCACAGTATTAATTTGGGGTACGCCCTCTACAAAATATCAATTATTTCTTTTTGTGTAAATGAAAACAAGATGGCTGCTACTATAAATAGAACATATGTTGATATAATGTGTATAGTTATAGCTTTGAAACATAAATGAATACAGGTGAAATCAGACAGAAATGGAAATAATCTGGATAGCAGGACCGAGGATTTAGCTACATAGTTCCTCAAAAATCAGTACACCTCCGATGGAGTTATTGCTCCTGCAATGTCCAATTGCGATGTTTGCAGGTTTCGACTATCACGTCGAAAATTATGGGAAATATAAGGTCTTTTTGTATCTAATTTCATATTTTTTCATCTCAGATATATGAGTTCAAGCATCTTATGTATGGAAATTTAGTTGTTGTGTAGTTTTTGACCATTAATTTGAAATTATATGAAATGGAATGAAAATGTAAGAAGCAAAAAATAGTCAAGCAGACAAATCCATTATGCATGTAAATGTATTTAGTGACTTCTATAACTGATTTGATCATCCATTTCTTGAATAGTTTCCCCTGAATTGTCAAAGAAATGTTTGTTTGTTTTTTTTTTTAATTTTATCCTATTGCAATGTTATCTTTTAAACTGTTGGAGATTTTTAAGATTGTAAGTAATAAAATTAATCAGCAAAAGAAGGTCTGACAAAGACACAGTGTACTGGTGTGTGTTGGTTTCATAACTGTTTAAATTGTTATCAGTAAAGATGGGAAATAAATTGAAGGATTAACTCAGTATTTGTGAGACTTTATTTAGTGTTTGTGATGCTTTACTTAGTGTTCATGTATATAAAGCTTCACTAAGTGTTTGTGATTTCTAGAAAATAGCATTTTGTGCCTTTATCTCCTTCTTGAAGTCACAACTGATCTGATATCAAATTAGAATATTTTTTGAAAATTTTGCAAGTAATGTATTCATTTACAGATACATGCTTGGATAGGACGAGGTAGCTTTCCACGAATTTACTTATAACAAAATTGTATTATTTTGCCAAAAACTGCGAAATTCGAGTCCAACGAATAGTTATGAAACGACATATGTAATTGTCTCCTTTAATATTTTTAAAACGCAAAAAACTAATCCTGGAATGGTTAAACTATTTTAACTTCTAATGGCAAAATTTGACCTGCAGGTGATGCAGAATAAGAAAAGTTGACTGTGGAAAAGCTGAAGTCATCTCGTTTGTCGTACAATTTAGTTATTAGTTGGCCCTTATGGACTTTAGAAAGTAAAACTTCCAAACATAAGTTTTTTCATCGTCAACTTTCATTATTTATGTAGTAATATTCTACCATCACCCTTTTATGGTGTCTAGATCTTCCAATTTATTAAATACTCAAGAGCATGTTCTGAGTATGGAAGGATAGATGGTTTCCATATTGCCTTTTAAATTTATAAAGTTCTTTAATATATTTTTAAAACACGTAATCCATTCTGAAAAGGTGTTCAGGTCTTCCTTTTCAAATTTAGTCCAATGTCTCGCATAATCTGAGACCGTATAAACCGAGGTCCCGTGTCGCAGTAGGTGCTGGCACGAAAAAGATCCCTCACTGCTCAATGAGTCCATATGAGTGAAAAATTCTCGAGATGGACGTTAAACAACAAACAATACAAAACTTCCAGGTCTTCTTTTTCAACTAGGTTGTCTTCACCTGTAATGACGTGTCCAGCAGGACTGTAGTTTGAAGAAAAACAATAACAAGAACACTTTAGAATGTTTTTTTTTTGATGTTCAATATCTAGGCACAGTAAGGGGTTTTTTTTATAATTGAAAAGTTTTGAAGCAGCAGTATGGGAATATCTGTAGGAAAAGAAGGGCGTAGACTTCAACTTATAAAACTTCAACAATATTATAGTGGAATGTAAGACTAAACTTTTTTTTATGATTAAGAATGTTAGTAATGTTCAAAGGATCCATTCTTTTGTAGGGAAATTTAAGTTTAAGAACAGAAGGGTTGAGTCAGAATTATTTTCTGACACACGTTGTGGCTTAAAGAGCCTGTTTTGGGTAACAAACACAAAAACTAGCTTGTATTCTGCAGTTAAAGAATCTAAGGACGGACTTGCTACAGCAAGTCCATTAAAAAATTTCAAGGGTGCCGAGTTTTGTGCGAATGTGATGAAGACCTAACTGTTCATTGATTTAATGACGTAAGGCAAAAGTGAATCAAAAGAGACATCTTGTATATTTGGTCTATTCTATGATCGAAGTCCATGACTAAGCCTATTTCTAGATGTTGAAAAGTCCTATCACATTAACATTTGCACATTGTGGGCTTGAAAAATTCCTTTAATTATTTATATGGTCGTTGCGACCATACGAAAAGGTCGTGCCTAGTTTCCTGATCCAGTATTCTTCTCGTTGTCTACGGAATGGAATACTTGAAGTGGGACTATAAGTTGGATGATATATTTTTTCCAAAATTCTAACCCTTATTTAAGAATAGAGTGATCAGGCGAAATGAAATGATTAAAAAAATGTTGATGGCCCCATTATTTATTTCAGACCATTTTCCCGACATTCTCTTATTGAGTGAACCCTTTGTTTCCCCAATATAAATCAGTTCGCATAGAGTACATTCAATTCCGTAGACAACCTTTAAAGTTTTACAATGAAAAAGTGTGAAGATAACGAACAGTGATCGATCATAAAAACTTCAAACAATACAAATCTGTGAACAGGGAATAAACACGGACTCCTGGAAATTCCAGAAGTGGGATCAGGTGCCTAGGAGGAGTAAGGATCCCTTGTTGACCGGTCACACCCGCCGTGAGCCCTATGTAATTATCAGGTAGACGGAACATTCCGTAGTCAAATTTAGTATAAAACAATTGGTAGGAAAAAAGTCAGCCAAAAGTCGACCCAGTGATAGGTTATATTTGCTTACAAAAGTCATTATAACGACCATAGAATTTATGGAATGCTGACTTTAACGAGGTTGTTGAAATCCCTGTAACATCTACGTATGTGTAAGTAGCCTGCCTCTATTTAAAAAACGCAGAGCATACTCTGAGTAGCGAATTAGTTGGGAGACATAAACACTATATACATGTGATAGCGGAAAATTACTACATAAATAAGGAATCTTGACGATGGAAAAACTGAAGTCATCTCGTTTGTTATACAACGTAGTTGTTAGTTTGTATAGCCAGTAAAACATCCAAATATGAAGCAGATTTGGCAGATCTTGTGGTGTCTTTTGCTTCAAGTTCACTGGGATAAATTGAGTCGACATATAAATGGAAATAACTATTGTTAATTGACAAAACTTCGTCGATATATCTGAATGTCGAATTGAAGTCCATGGCAAGTATTTTCTTCTTCTCGTGTAGAGGTTTTTGAATAAATTCTGCTTCATGCGAATATAAAAACAGGTCGCCTAAAAAGGAGGACAATAAGTGTCCATTGGAATTCTAACAGTTTGCTGGAAGACTTGGTCTCCGAAGACTACATGTTTTCAATGTTTTCAATAAGGAACTCCAGCATCTTTTTAATATCAACTTCTGAGTACATATGTATAGAATCAGAGTGATTTTTAACAAAGTAATTTTGTTGATGACCAATCACAAGATGAGAAAATTTCCGAGTTCCATTTTTATTGAAGAAGCAGTTTTGTATGATATCGATAAGCCTAGTTTGAAATTGTTGTATAAAGTATAGAAAAGTCGTATTCATGATGTAAACTTTAAAAGAAATGTGATTACAAATTTTCTAAAATTTTTATAGAGTTTTTGTGGATCCACATCTGATTTACACATCTGCAGAATATGCTGTAGTACAGTGCGTATGAAATTATGAAGTTTCTCCTTAACAACAGTTAATATTTTGATAAGGAATAAAGTTAGGGACTTAGTAGAGCATTAGCTGGACCCGGCAATATATCTTTGTTTGAAAAAAATTAAGTTTAGGATTTCAGTATAGGTAGGGCAGATCGACCTCACCTTGGTTGACTGGAGTGTTAAAAGTATGAAACTCTAAGATGTGTTTTTGAAGAATTTCATCCTTAGAAAGTGAGCTGCGGGTATATGTAGGATTTCCAGACGTAGAATTAGTACAAATATTTTTTCTGCTTGAACTTTCAGTAAGGCGTGATATTCTCGGCTATAACGTAATTAGCGTCTCTCAAATAGTGACCTACATCCTCATTGGTTGCCAGATTAGCTCATCAATACTGAAATTTACACAGCTTTTCATTCACGGGTGAAATACACATGGAATAAAAATGGTTCAGACGTCAACGAGTGACACAAGGAACCAATTACATCGTTTCTTACAGTAAAGAGGTGTAGCTTATGTCATCTCATTGTGTGTTAACAACAATCTAAAGTTGCTAATGTTATTAATTTCTTAACCAATGAGAATCTAGGTCACCATTTGAGAGACACTAATTATGTATCGCCGAGATTGTCACGTCTTACTGAAATTTCAAGCAGAAATGATATCTGTACTAAAACCAAGTTCTTCCAAAATACAATTATAATAATGAATTTTACAAACAAAGACGATATTGTTACAAGCCTAGTCTGCTGGAACCAGTACATATTGTTCATGTAGGCAGTCTAATTCTTTTAACACCTCCGATTTATTGAAAACGGAAGGATAGATTGCTCGCATTTTGCAATTTA